CCGAAATAATTCATTTTAAGTTAATTAAAAGTATAACAGGAATGTCTTGTCTGCTTAAGAGTGTCATGGTCAAATGGAAACCTCAAGGTTTGGCTCTCAAGTCCTGCTGAGTCCCCATGGCTATGAAGGGGGTGAAGGGGATTCCACGCAACTGGTGGAGGCAGAGGGGGAATCTGTATCTGAAATAAGTGGCCTTTGGCTAGTCCTGCTGCCAAAAAACAGTGTATTACAAAACTCTGCTTAATCCTTCATATTTCTTCTTATTCCCACACAATGGGCGAGGCACTGAAGGTCACAGAGGCCTGGTGGGCACTGCAGAGTGAAGAGCATCCCAAGAGCTAGGGCCGTTTCGCCTCATGGCTCACATGTTTTCCACCTGCACCATGGCTGAGGCTCCTGCCAACAGGAGTGTGGTGTGTAGGGGACACCAGACACCTGCCAACCATAGCGCTTGGCCACAGCCATGGTATTCATCGGGTTTCCTTCAGTGGCTGCTTGGGACCCTGCGTTAGCTCCTGCCTTGACGGGGGCCACACAGGAGATCTGCAGAGTGCCAAGATCAAGTCTCCCGACTTCAGTGCACGAGATTTCTCCTCAACACACAGCACTGCTGGCCTAAAAACTTTGCGCTGAGTAACTGGGGCAGCGAAGGGAGCCGTGAGCCTTGGCCCGACCGTGGCACCGGCGCCACCCCTAGGCGCTGCGTCAGCCATTTTTCCAGCTTTGCCTTTGCACGAAGCCGTCTGCAGAAATGACAAAATAATTCCCCCGAGCTGCTGCCGCCGATGGCAGCAAGGTTACAACCCCACTTTGACTGATTAGAGTTCGTAACGAAGTTGATGCCGCCTCCGGATTCATTACTGTTGAAAAGCAGCCCCGCATAGTTATTTTCTGGTTGCAGTTTGTTCTTGCTGTCTACTGTTATTTAGACTCATGCTCAGTGCTGGCTTACAGGGCTATAAAGGCTTGGTGCGGTGACCCAGAGTGACTTTCACAGTGAGCTTAATTTAGGATTTCATGCTAACTTACGCAATAATACCTTGAGTCCTATACCTTTATGGTATGTAATATCACTTTGTGATGGAACCATCAGAAATGAAACGTTATGAAAAAGTTAACAGAGTTAAGAGAGAAAAAGGTACTCCAGAATTATGGAACCAAACATGAGTCTGCATTAAAAAACAATGATTTTCAACTCTGCATCAGCCTACACATATGGCTTATGGATTATGCGTAGAGGTGCACATCTAACACATAGGGTCAGGTTATACATAGCCCCACTCAGTGTTTGTTTTACCTGTGATAATCCTTATCATAATACAGCTTGTTTAATTTTATCCCTTCCTGTGATAGAAAAAAAGGACTTATCAGGCACAGGACTGTAAGCAAAATGAGCTGGGCAAACACTACAGCCCCTTTCTTACTGTGTCTTTCTGTTTGATAACAAGATCAGAGAGATTTAGAGGTTCAGTTTAATAGGGATATTCTTCCAGCAGTGAACTGAATGAGACTGACTTCCTGCTGCACAAAACTGAGGCAGACATCCCAGAAGAGCAACACTTCAGCTGTTGGATAGGAAATTGGCCCCACACAGAGTGAGGGTGTAGCGGCGTGGGCCTGAAACATCCACAGAAAATCATGGTGTCCCAGCTTCTGAGGTGAGAGGAGTTTCACTCATACACGGGAGCAGCAAATTTGGTCTGGGGTATTTGCTCAGCAGCTGAGGGTCCCATGTGTGATGTTCCTCTTCCA